CTGCTTTCTTCAATAATACCATTTAATAATAATTCCTGAATTTCATTAGCAATGAATTCGTTTTTCTAAAGATGATTTAAAATCATCTTTAGAAAAACGTCTAGATTTAGTGACTATAGGTTTACAGATCGACGATAAGTTAGGAAAAATTGATACTGGAGGAATCGTAGCTGCGGTTACTCCGCAAATTTCAAGTTTTGCTCTTGGACCACCAAAATTTAATTGAACTTTGCAATGTTGAGTTAATACATCATGACCAATAATAATATCCGCACATAGATGTTTTACAATAAGTAATTTTATATTTTTAAAAATGTGATTTCCTATGCTTATTGACGTAATACACAGGCCTTCTACATTCGATGTATAATTAGTCGTAGCCATTGTCACTTTCTCTGAACATTCTTCTTTTATTAGAGAACAGCGATCAAAAAACAAACTATTAATGTAGCTTCTAGAACTTCCTGAATCGATTAAAGCCTGAGCATTTACCCCCTTTATTTTTATAGTTACAATTGCTTTACCGAGGCATGCAGGTGATGCAGCTATGACAGAAGCTACAGCGTCCATGTCATCGATTTCCATTGCGGCATTTACAGATTTTTTTGAGTTACGACATGCTTTGGCCCAATGTCCCTTTTTATTACATATTTGACAAATCGCATTCCTTGCAGGGCAATTTGAACGCACGTGTATATTTCCGCCACAAAAAAAAACATTTCTTTCGATTGTATAAAGTTTTCTGATAAGTCGACGAAAACTCATGATTTTTAACATGAGTTTGTGATTGTGAAGCATTTATTGGATTGATCTGATATTCTTGAGCAGTAGACTTCGCTAGCTCCAATGATACTGCTTTGTTATATGCTTCATCTAAAGAAAGTGATAAATTTTCTAATAATCTCTGTCTGATATTATTACATGAAATACCAGAAATGAAGGCGTCTCTTATATACTCTTCTTTATATTTTTCAGCAGACACTGATGTAAATTCACATTCCAGACTTTGTAGTTTTAATTTATATATAAACTGTTGAATCGTTTCCCCGTTTTCTTGTTTTGAGGTGATAAGCTTGTGTCTTGCAAAAATTTATTTTTTTGGTTTGACGAATGCAAGCTCTAAATTATTGATCGCATCTTTGTAGCTAACACAATGACATATATATTCATAAACTTTTGATGATAGATGATAAATCAGAAGTTGAAATCTTGCTTTTTCATCTTTAACATTATTTATAGCCAAAAAATTTTCAAAAGTTATATACCAATGTCTCCATTCTTGTGCCGCGGTAGCAGATGAAGAATCGGTTTCAAATTTCTCTGGTCATAAAAATCTCTCCATACTTCTTAAGAATTATTTTATTGAATTGTTGATTCCTTCTGCTTAATAAATTGATAAATAATACAAAACCTAGTTATTAGGTTTTATTAAGCAGAAAATATATACATAAGTTAATAATTTTAAAAACAATGTTTACATTTATGGCGAATGGCCAGTATTATATCACATATGTCATTTAACGTAAAGCGAATCATTTTTTTAACCCGCGCAGTATACGTCATCTATATTAAAACATCATTGGGCAGACAGTCGTATTTTTAAATATGTAGGTTCAGAATGTTAAATTTTTACAGGTGAATCATTAGCCATTTTAGAAGCAGTTAAGTATATTGAATTCTTTGCCATATCCTAATATCCCATCAAAGCCTGTTTTTCAAATAAATCTTTTAGTAAATTAAATAATACATTCGCTTGCGAAACCTAGTTATTAGTGGTTTTAGCTAAACTGCAGATACTGGAACTCTCTTTGTCACTGCGGCTTACATAAGTTTTTTTATGTCCAAATCTTAACGTCCCCCTATATGATATCCTTCCCTCAAAGTTCCCCAAAAATCCAATCCTTTACATTTATGGCGTACTACATAAATTCCTTTGGCCAGTAATTATTATATCCTTACTTATATGTCATCTTAACAAAATGTTTAAAGCGAATCAACCAATAAAGTTTTTTAAAACCCAAAAGTCATCAGTATAACGTCAATCTATATTGGCAGAAATCAACATCATTGGGCAGCCAGTCTATAATTAAAAAAAAAAAAAAAAAAATATGTAGGTTCTCGGTTTATCATTATTGTGTCATTGGCGATATCATATGGACCACCAGCTGCTTTAGAAGAAGGTTCTCGGTTGGCGCAAGCCCTAACCTATGCACGTTCGTGGCGGGATCTTCGAACGAGACTGGTAGACTCAGAAAATTTCTTTGATTCGCAATTCAATTTGTTGTTTGTTTAAAACTCATATAATTCGGGACCTCAGGATTAAATCAGCAGTTTAGGTTTAAAATCATATAATTATAGTATATTAAATAACAGAAACAAATAAGAAAACTCGAAAATATTTGAATAAACTTACAAAAAAAGTTTCCATAAAATTATCATGATTCGTTTAAATTCTCTTTCTTCTATATACTAATCACCTTTATTGACATAAAAATTATTTACAATGTTTATAAATATTAGCTAAGTCGACATTAAAATTAATTATCTAAAAACGTAGTCCACACAGCACAGTGACAAGAGTGTAGTTACATTTCCTCTCTATACTTGACCTTTCAATGAGAAAAGTACCAGCCGTCTTGTCACCACTCCCAACAATAAGTCGAGGATATAAATAAGAACCCCAACGGACCCCCAATATTTGCGGAAAATGGCATAAATGTACAGTCTTCTACACTAAAAGACTCTTGTTATATTCATGCCATTTACATTCAGCAGCCTCTAATACTTCCTCAGCTCAAATCAAAATAAAATGGTCAACCCGAAAGTTCTATCACTCAATATGGATGGAAAACGAATGGTATCTGGATGATGTACCTCATTCAGACCTTAAAATCGGCCAGCACTTATTTAAAAAAATAATTGATAAATTCAATTATACTCTATGTTGTGGCTTTTTTCCGTTTCAATTGAAACTTCGGAATATAAATTATAGACCTGTTAAATAACTATGTTGTGGGCGAACAAGTAAATTGTTAATCTATTATTTCAGTTTTGTTGACACAAACATGTGGAAGCTAAATTGTTTTTTGTACAAATAAATATCGTTTCTACACTTCATTGAATGTTATTTGTGCTTTTTTGCCAGTTAAATATTCTAATGAAATGTAATATTATAAAGAAGAACTAACTTAGATGCTATTGTCTTATCTGAGTTTGGCTTGAAAAGTTTCTTCTCCTTGCCTCTGTAGTCCGAGTATCTTCTTGGGTGAATATATCTTACACATAACTCATTAAAAAACTCAAACTTGCTTACAAAAGGTACATTATTATTCTTAAGTTAAATACTGTAATTATTGTTGGTTTAGGGTCCAATCAACCTAGCGGTAAATTAAGTGAATTGTAATTAATAACGGGGAAGTTTATAGTGGTTCAAAGGCAAGAGGATAATGCTGGCTTGTATGGAACAGGTCTGCTGTCGTTGAAGTTCACCCTCACCCTTCAATGCTTGGTGATGGAAATTTCCATCATAAAATTTAGTGAACAAATAATGTTTACACATTTTCCCTTTAATCTAGAGTACGATTTACATCACCTTTATTTATTTTACAAAAAAAAATGCAAAAATGGGTTAATTATTTGAAAAAGCACCTACAACTCCTCTGGTCGTTGCTGTCCACGGAATGTGCTTATTGTTTAAACAGTAATGTTTCATACATTAACTCATTTGCCAAATTCCATTTTGAAAAAGCAAAAATGTGATCCAACAGATCAAATTTGAATATTGATCCAAGCATTTCGTTTTGTTCGTTTCTTAATATACATTATTGATTTGTTATGGGAGCTAGAGATTTCTTTACTGAGTTTTTTGTGTGTTTCGCAATGTTTTATGGTGAAGATCTTAAAAGGGTTTAGACGCTTTATGCTTCTTTTATTATGAAGTTTTCGTGAGATATTCTAGTAAGTTTTGGCGAGATGTTTTCAGTATGCTTCCAGAAAGTAGTGATAAAAAGCCTATATTAATTTGTAGTCAGGCAGAGGCTTGCATAATGCACTGGGAAAATGAATGGGCAAGTACATGTTTCCTAAGTTTTTGGGCGAGGAATGCATTACTACCTACATTGTGACATTTATTGTGTGTTAGGAAGCCTGAATAATAGTTAAAATTGGTGTTGGTAGCGGTGTTCCAAGGTGAAACTACAAAAACACTGTAAATTTGCTTGCTTCATTAACTGTAAGTGCACAGTATACAGACACAACAGCGAGGGGCTCAGAAGCTAGACAACATTAAAATTTGCAAAAATTTTTGCTATTGAATTGAATCTTTCTTTTAGGGATTTGCAGTGTGAGAAGTCATTGATACTCACATTGGGGAGTGGTAAACGTATCAAAAGTATCATGTATCTGTATCACATACATAACTTTAACAATATCAAAAGTTACGGCTTAATTATTTTTACTCATTTCATGGACTATCGGATATCTATTATCTAACTACTTTAAAATCTGAAAATACATCAAAGCTGTACATATGGGGAGGATAAGAAGAGAATAATCCACTTTTAAATGAAATACAGTGGATTTGTTACTGCTAATATAATTAGCAGCATTAGTATTATAATTGGTGAGGTTTTTGATTTAAAAATTAAATGAATTAGTCAAGTACATAGCCTTATTCCGTTGCTTGCCAAAGACAGTACAGAAGGCAATAGAGAATCGGACAATTTGATATAGACTGCGAACTTTGAAACATTTTGCAACTCATGCAGTGCCACATTCCCCTTCACATCCCAAGCAAACTGCCACCATCAACCCGAGCTATCACTACGCTAGTGTGCTAAACCGTGGCCCGGACGAGTTCCGCACGCGGTGTCCAGCTCAAACTGCCACCATCAGAGCCATGACCGGGAGCAAATGTTGACCCCTGGCCCGTAAGAGGTCTCAACACCTCGACGAATTGTTCCGAACCATAGCCCGGCTAAGTTCACAACACGTGGTGTCTAGCACAAATTGCCTCCGGGGCGATCGGAGGACTCAACCGATTTGTGCCGAAACGCACGTAGTCTCCAGCGCAAATTGCCACTACCGGATCCGTGTTGGACCGTGGTAGCAGAGTTGTGCTTTGCGGCGGCCCGGCTAAGTTGCCAGCGCGCGGTGTCCAGTGCAAACTGCCACCATCCGAGCCACTGCCGGAATCTTGTCGAACCGTGGCCCTGCCGTGGTGCGAACTCCTCGACAAATTTTGCTGAAGCGAGACCCAGCCGGTGTCCAGCGCAAGCTGCCACCATCCGTGCCACCAAAAGCTTGTGTGTCCGGTAGAGGTCCCAGCGCCTCGACGAATTGTTCCGAACCATAGCCCAGCTAATTTCCAAACACATGGTGTCCAGCGCAAACTGCCACCATCCGAGCCACTGCCGGACTCGTGCTGAGCCGTAGTAGCAGAGGTTCGGACACCTCGACGTATCGTTCTAAACCATGGCCCGGCTAAGTTCCGAACGCGTGGTGTCCAGCGCAAACTGCCACCATCCGAGTCGCCGCCGGACTCGCGCTGAACCGTGGCCGGCGGGGGTGCCGACACCTCGGCCGGCGGGGGGGTCTCGAAATGAAAGCCGCCGGTATCGTTATCGGTAAAGGCCTATATTAGTGTGTGGTGGTAGTGGTGGTGGCGGTGGCGGTGGTCAGTGCGCCGCGGGGGGGGTCTTGGCGGGCGAGGCGGGCGGGGCGCTCCACTCCACGTCGCCCTCGTACTGCGTGTTCTCCAGCCGCGTGATCAGCCGCTCGTCCTCGTCTCCGAACTCGCCGCCCATCAGCGACGGCTCGCCGACCACCATCACGTCCTGCGCGATACACACACGTCTGTTAAGTAGGGGCTTTTGGGAACACGTATGTTACGTAGGGGCTTTTGGGAACACGTCCGTTAAGCGCGGACAGCAGAATGTGAACTCTAAATGTGTCATTGTCTAATATGCCGAATGGCCTCTCGGTGGAGCATTGAGGGGCCGTTCGGCACCATCACGCTAAGTACGGATAGCAGATTGAGGAGCTTTTAAACGTGCACACCGCGCCTGAGGGCAGACACTACCGTCACTCCCTGCGTTTTATATGCCTGTTAAGTACGGATAGCATGGCAGGGGATTTTGAGAAGCCAGACGCCGCCTGAGCGCAGATCCTACCATCACGTCCAGCGATATACATCAGCGCGTAGCAGATTAGGTTTTTTAAAAGGCACACTGCGCAGTATTTACTGCCAGTGACGGATACATAATAAGGGAGTGTACAGTTGGTGTAGTGTGTTTCAAAATTACGTCAAAAAGCGACACCAGTCTGATTAAAATATTAGTATTCCTAATTACTACTGCTCCGGCGCTTCCGTGTTGTTTTTGTGTAGTTCTGTCACATATAAACAGCTGTTGCGATATTTATGAAATGCGTAAAAACGCCACGTGTATGACGCGACGGCTGCCGTGTCGTGTAGTGTGCGTTAAGGATGTCGATATATCGATATTTACGATTTTACTTATTGATATTTTCAGCCGATATATTTGAACCCGGTATATCGATATAAAATTTTTCAATATCGAAAATTGTATCAAAAGCGACATTTTTTCAAATTCGAACCCGGCACAGAGTCCGCATGTGTCGAATATTTAATACTTTACATACATTTTTTTTTGAACATCGGGGTTTCTACGACCCATATCATATATATCGTTATTTTCTCTTCGACACATCGGGGCCGATATTGATATCTTTATAAATTTTGATTTATTTCTTCACGACATCCCTAGTGAGCGTGTCGTGACCGTGTCGCAATATCGATATATTTCTCCACTTTCGACATCCTAGTGAGCGTGTCGTGACCGTGTCGCAATATCGATATATTTCTCCACTTTCGACATCCTAGTGAGCGTGTCGTGACCGTATCGCAATATCGATATATTTCTCCACTTTCGACATCCTAGTGAGCGTGTCGTGACCGTGTCGCGATATCGATATATTTCTCCACTTTCGACATCCCTAGTGAGCGTGTCGTGAACGTGTCGCGATCGTCTCCACTTTCGAATTCCCTAGTGAGCGTGTCGCGGTCGTGTCGCGTGTCAGTGACGTGTCAGTGACGTGGCGCGTGTCGCACCTGCGAGGCGAGGCTGAAGTTGGGTCCCGGCGAGCGCTTCTTGGTGGGGGCGGGCGGCGCCGCGTTGGCGCCCGCGCTGCCCTTGCGTTTGCGTCTCTTGCTCGCCGGCCGCTGTGATTCTGTCGAGGGGAACGTAAACAGTTAGGTTAAACAGCCTATACAGGGAGGGGTTTTCTAAATGTATCCATTTTTTTTATAAAATTTATAAATAATGTTACATAAAAAATGATAAATATTTTAAATCACTCGTAAGTAATTAATTACATTCATTTGAACTTATCTCAAAAACTGCGTGCTTTATATGCAACTCATTGATCTTACGCGCGATCATTAATAACTAACACGCACAGAAGTTCGTACGTGTGCGTGAACGGTAAAATTTTGATATTTATGAATGACTACCGCGTTGTCAACAAGTTCTGTTTTTTAGGACGGTAATTTTTTTGAAAAAAAAAAAAAAAGAAGTTTGTTTTTATTTCAATAAACGATTATACTACCGAGACTGAACTTCCTGTGTTAATTTGGGCACCTTTAAAAAAGCCTCCCTGTATGTCCCACTGCTGGGCAAAGGCCTCCTATGTACAGAGGGTATTAGGGCACAGTCCATCTCGCAACCCCACCGCGGATTGGTGGATCTTCGAAATATTTTTTTTATTATTTCGGAAATATACAGGGTTCCTCATGATATTATTCACCGCTGAGCCCTTGATGTGTCAGCACTTAAAATTAAAAATTTCATTGGTGCCACACCGGGATCGATACCGGGTTTCGTTACTTTATTTATTTATTTATTATAATAAAATGCGTTGTACTGGTTTCTTATCTTAATTGATGTAAATACAACATCCTTGAAATCCTTGGTCGAGTTCCACGAATGTGTTACACATTTTAGTGAAAAAAGAACAAAAAGTATACTAGGAGGACACAACTCATAACCGATCTTTTCAACACATCCGCACATCCGTTTCGTTACTCATATACATGTGTATACATATACAGCGTGTCGTTACCATCGCGACAATAAATGAACACACGTCTAACGCTACTTGCCAATAATCATAAAAAAATATTAACGTTAAACAATCCAAATCCATAATTTAAAAAAAATATTTTTTAAACAAACTAATTAAGTAAAAAAGAAACAAAATTTGTAACATCCTATACAACTCGCGCCACAGCGTCGCATTACAAGCCTCTCCTTCTAACAGTATGTTTTGTCTCCTTTAAATTCATTCAACCCATTCATATGCTTTGTGACCTTTACAAATGAACTTCACGTTACAGTTTTATACGTAAGGGTGTTCTAACATTGTTTTTTTTTTTTGGAAAATTTAATAACTCGGTAAATATTGATGTTTGAAGAATGTAAATGTTTATTACAATTTTAAAAAGTTATCCCCTATATGTGTGTTCATTTATTGTCGCGGTGGTAGCGACACGCTGTATAACGATGACGGCTGCCCCACCTGGTGGCGCTACCATCCGCTGCCACTTCTGGAAGAGCGTGGTCTTGAGGCAGTCGCGGGGCGAGAGCGCGTACGCCTTGTGCCGCGACATCAGCTCCTGCATCGGCTCCAGGATCACGCACAACTGGGATAAATAAATAAATATTTTTAGCAAACATTTTTACACTACGATCTCCGGTCCCAAACTAAGCGAAGCTTGTACTGTGGATAATAGATAGCTTAACGCCCGGTTTCTGAAACACCGATCATCGTAGATGTCAACTAATTAAACTCTCTGAATTGCCGTGAATGATCTTCTTAATGATCAGAATGATCAATCCAAAGAGTTTAACCGTCCTTTTGGCTACACAAATGAAATTTGAAAAGCATTTGACAGTCGATTAGTTGACATCTACGATGATCAGTGTTCCAGAAACCGGGCGTAAGTTTGTTAGTTCTCACTGTTGCAACGAAAAGGTGGCAACGCATGTGGATGTTGTAAGTGTGCCTTGCCGCTAGCTCGCTTGCCACCTTCTCACATGCAAAAAGGTCAGTTGGCTAGAACCTCTGGACGAATCACACAGATGACGCAAGTTCGAACCCTTGCAACGCCGCTTAGCATTATAAATAATAAATAAATATTTTAGGACACATTTTTACACAACGTTCTCTAGTCGAAAACTAAGCAACGCTTGTACTATGGGTAGTAGGTAACTGATAAACATACTTAAACATACATTTCTTTTGTAAATGAATACATAATATATAAACCACCCAAACACTGTGTTCATCACATAATATTTTTCCACACCCTCTGGCGCAGGAGGCAGGTACACTACCCACTGCGCCATTAGGGTCGTCAAAATATATTTGTAGGTCGTCGAAATTTATTATAACTTTTAATATAATAAAAAGTGATCACTTAATGGTCTAACAATACGACAAATTTACGGCAGCAACCAAAAATTCCGCCTCCGGCGCGACATCATCCTGAGGTATAACATTCCCACTGTGGTGTCGTGATACTTACATGCCGGACCTGCCCATTCGTGCAACAACATACCGCGGCTTCAATCTGACTAATCATTCATTTCATTTCATTCCATTTTTACGGTGGTAGGGCCACGCAGCAGCCTCGGCCGTTGCACGAATGGGCAGGCTCGTCCGGGTAAGTACCACGACCTCACAGAAGATCTGCGTAAAGTGGAAGTATAACACATTCGCGTTTCGTCTGGTGAGTGAGGTGGCCGGAGCCCAATTTTCAAAAGGTCGTCAACGCATCAGCAACCCTCGGGTGTAGCGGATGTCCACGGGCGGCGGTATTCACTTAACATCAGGTGAACCGTCCGCTCGCTTGGCAGATTTTCACATTAAAAAAATTCATTCATTCATTCATTAATTCTCCAAAGGAAATCCGCCCCCTGGCCGCTCACCCTGAGGTAGTTGAGCGTGGAGTTGGTGATGCCCTGGCGCGTGATGTTCTTCGCGAGCTGGTCGAGCGCGGCGTGGTCGGGCGGGTGCACCGCCTGCCGCGGTATCAGCTCGCGGTGCGCCCTCACCGCCATGTGCCACGACTTGATGCGCATCAGGTCGTCGAACGTGAACTCCAGGATCAGCCTGCCCTCGGTGCACACCTGGAAACGGCAAGGCGCGGGCAGTTTGTGTTATGTGGGAGATGTATACATTTTTAATCTATGTAACATAAGCTAGCAACATCGTCTTTTTTTTACTGTTATATACTAAGTTTAAATTTAAGTTTCTTTATTTGCTGATAAATAGGTAGTACAGAAAAAATTTTGGTCTTGTTATCTTGTTGTTGTCACAAATGTCAACCTAACCTATTTAGCTGTTTTAAACAGCATGCAAATGTCCAGAAGATATATTTTTATAATAGTGTTTTTTTTTTTTTTTACATGTAACTAAAATCGTCCTACAATTTTAATAGATACATTAATTAATTAATGCATCGATTTTAAACAAAAAAAATAATATATGAAATACTCAATATTAATTAGGTATTACAATTTAAAAACTCATTTATTGTGTAAAATAGTTTCTCTAGTAGCCATCGTCGTAACGAAATTTTAAACATATTATATGGTAATTGTTTTATATGTGAGGGTATCTTGTTATAAATAGTATTGCACATTGCATAGCTATTTTTTTGAAAGCGCTTACTTTTAGGAATTGTATCTAGTACTAATTTATCTTGGTTCCGTAAGTTTATTTTTGTCACATCTTTAGCTTGTAAAAACATATTCTGGTTTTGTTTTACAAATTTGCAAACCTCAAATATATAGAGACAAGGAAAACGAAGTATATTTAAGCTCTTAAAATAAGTCCTGCATGATATATATGATGAAATGTTACTAAGAGCTCTAATACAGCGCTTTTGAGCTAGAAATACTTTTTGACATTCTGTGCCATTACCCCCAAATTATAAGTCCGTATCTGATAATAGATTCTATATATGCAAATTACGCTGTGATCGCCGTATTTATGTTTAATATTTTTGCTAATTTATGTAACGCGTATACAAATCTGTTGATTTTGTTACACACTTTATATATATGTTCCTTCCAATTTAGATTAGAGTCTATAACTAAACCTAGAAATGTTGTATTATTAGCATTCTGCAGTAATTGTCCATTATATTTAATATTTATGTCAAGTTATACTGTTCCATATACTTGCTTACTTGCATAACGCACTTGTCATTCTTTCGCCTTTTAAAAAATTATTATATAAGAACTTATTATTTAAATCTTTACTGTTTTAATACAAATACACGAAGAATATTGTAAGATATAAGAACTTCTTTTATTGACGAAAATTCCTACAAGCAAATTCAGTTTGTGCTGGTGACGATAGATGATGGGGGATGGTGACTCCCGCCGTCGAACGGCGGACGGTAGGGGTCAATTTATGCTGGTGTCGGTGGAAGTGGATGATAGCAGGTAGCTCCGCGGCGCAGTGGCGGGGGTCGTGGGTTCGATTCCGGCACGGGACGACTGTTTATGTAACGCGCAAGCGTCTATTGGAATAAAGATGTTTGATTTATTGATTGATTGGACTTGCATGCAAAAACCCTTGGTAAACCGTTTTTCAATTTGAAAGAACGAAACGTTGTTTGGACAGATACCAGGGCACCATCGCCTCAATGGGCTATATCTTAGCGAAAATACTAGATACAACATTGCCATTGGGGAGCCATTTTGCAAGTCGAAGGAACCCCTTGACTTGTTTGGACAGATACCAAGACACCATCGCCTTTAAGGAGCTACGATGAGCCGAAAGTACCAGAGCAACATGGGCATTGGGAACTCTCAGTTTGGTGAATATGGGCTTGCCGTGGTGCGTGACCATCGTGCAAAGGTCAGGGCACCATGGCCATCGGGGAGGCTCATTTTGGTGAACATGAGCTTATCGTCTCATCGTGCAGTAGTCGCAGGAAAATATTCCCTTGGTAATACAATTTTGCAAGTTGATGGAACCCCTTGACTTGTTTGGACAGATACCAAGGCACCATCGCCTTTGAGGAGCTACGATTGGCCGAAAGTACCAGGGCACCATGGCCATCGGGGAGGCTCACCTTGGTGAACATGGGCTTGCCGTGGTGCGTGACCATCGTGCAGTGGTCGCAGTCGAGCGTGATGCTCGTGTTGTGGAAGGACTCCTTGGGCTGGCGCATCGTGTAGTACAGCTCCGACACGCCGCCCTCGTATATGCTGCGGAAGTACCGTGGTATCAGGGTCCTCCCTATCGCTGAAAGCACAAAGGGTACTCCGTTGTAGAGGCGATAGAACTTAAATTACGAGTTTGCATTCAGTCCTACAAATTTCGACGAAACAAGGACCTAACAGATATAATTATTAAGAGCAGAAGTATTTGGTTACTAGGGCTTCAGAAAAAAACAAAATATACTTCAACACATCCAACCACAAAAAGTACGAAAAGATTGTCGCCGCTATGGGAATCGAACCCACGTCTTCGGCATTCGGGGCCTGACGCTTTAGCCACTAAGCTAAACGGCCGATTGCCACACCGACGAAATCTTAAGGTCTTTTATCTACATTGCTTTTTTTGCATTTGAAGCAATGCTTGGCGCATCTATCGTTATATCCTTTCCAGCATACAAACAAATTCGAATATTGCTTTACAACGATAATTCGAACGAGAGATGTCGCCATTGCTTTTTAGAAAAATTTAAATTTTTTATAGTGCTAATCACAATTTTCGTAGGTGTGGCAATCAGCCGTTTAGCTTAGTGGCCAAATCGTCAGGCCGCGAATGCCAAAGATGTGGGTTCGATTCCCACAGCGGCGACAATCTTTTCGTACTTTTTGTACAAATTTTAATTTTAAATCTTAAGTGCAGAGATTAGCATTACAAGAAATTAAAAATTACTTCCAGCCAGTATAAAAAGTCTTCCAAATTAGTAAGTGTCGTACTGATAAATACTTAAGATTTAATCAAAACCTTTTTTATACATACTTAATTTATTAACAACTTACTGTGACCTTCTTTTTTGAAAAAAAAAAAGATAGTTTCGTAGCACACGAATAAGATACATTTAAAATTGTCAATGTAATTGAATCTCTGACGTTTTCACAATTTTAGTCCTTATTTTACATACAAATAGGGTCTTTTACTGAACGTGTACTCACAGTATCTTTTGGGTCCGTCTTCTAGACAAAATGTTAGGGTTAGCGTCGCGTCGTCCTCGAAGAACTCTGTCGCGAACGCGTCCCACCATAGGTTATCTGAGTCCTGAAACAGCACGTGTAACGCCTTGAGCATATGTTGTCCTGGTACTTTTGGAACGGTGACGGTCGGCAAATGGCAGTTACCGGTCGGAGGGATGGTAGGATTTTTTTCTTTAATTTTTAATTAAAAAAAAAACGTTGCCCTTACTTTGGGATAACGTGATCCTGTGTTGTAAGGACGTTTTACAAAGAAATTTATCACGCGGTCAAACACACAGATGCGAAACAACTATCTATGGGTCACACAAATAGTTGTCCCGTGTGGGGATCGAACCCACGACCCCCGACGCCGAAGCCAATAACTTGGCAACTGCGCCACGGAGTCATCGAAGGATTGACGACAGGCTTGAACGGACGATAAGTCTATCGTCCGTTCATCGACGTGATGCTATATCTACCATAGAAGTTCCTCACTGATGACATTTTTAAGTGAAAAGGTGGCAAACCAGTTAGCGGTTTACCTGATTTTTATTTGATAACCGCCACCCATAGACATTTGCAACACCCCTAGGGTTGCAGATACGTTGCCACCTTGTAATATAGTGGGCCCCGGCTACCTCACTCACCAGAAAAAACGCAGAAGTGTGACACTTCAACTTTACGTCGATCTTCTGTGAGGTCGTGGTACTTATCCGGACGGACATGCCCATTTGTGCAACAGCCGAAGTGTGGCCCTAGAGTAACGTGACGATTTGACCTGAAGACATTTGTACCTGGAATATTTCCTAGTTCGAATCCCAAATAATAGAGCTATGTATATAATAGATAACTGCTTGGCTTCTGGACCATTTTGTATGGGAAAGACCTGAATTGCAGCATAATAGATGGTTCCAATTGATTCCCCATGTATTCCCGTCCCGAGTATGTGAAACTGGATATTTATACGTAGATCTCTCCCATTCCAATTTTGAAATGTGTCCTATATTCCTATACCCAATTTGTTGAGGGTAAAGAGTATCATCGAAGCACCCACAGAACTATTTAAAATACATTCAATATGGAAGTATATTTAGTAGGTCGTAGCGATGACGTCACCTCTTGATATGGAAGTGACGTCATAAATACCAGGGGCGGAGCACTCACCTCTGTCCTCTGCTGTAACCGTTTGTTGAGTTCGTAAACTCTGTAGTCTGGCTGGCCGAAGTACGGCGCGTGCCTTCTGGAAATGTCAAAACATTATCGGTGTTAATTAAATTGACGGATTATGTACTCCTGGTTACTTTGACAAAGCAAACAATTTTATACATCTCAAAGTAGTGGGTAGCATATGCACTTGTTTAGAAGTAATAGTTTATAATGTTTGATAATTTCTTGTATTTACGCGATACATTAAATCACCTCAACCACCGTATCACTTTGATAGACCACAGATCCTTGCAAAAGAACACCGACACCTCCCAAGGATGATTCGCGAGTCTATTTAAATTAAAAAAAAAAACACCGTAATTTCAACAGCTTGGGTTAAACAGTAAAATCATTAATGATACGAATCATTAACAAAGTTTCAACGATACACAAGACACAAGACAAGATACACCATCTGCGTAGATCTAACACCGGGTTAATAATTTAACAAATTGACGGTAGCCCAGACTACCAACGACATTCAGACGTCCAACGCCTCAGTCTGCAGAGGATTCGCGATGTCGGGAATTAAAATTAAAGATAATCGTTTTGTACAATACCAATATATAGATACTGAACACTCCTTGTCAAATTTAAGAGTGAACTTAGTAAATGTAATTATTTAGTGCTAAAATGCGCGTTAGAATGAGGCCTTTGGCCAACATTGGGACACTAATGGCTGATAAAGTAAAGTAAAGTAAAATACGCGTTGGAGATTCTCAGTAGGTACTTATAGTTATAATCTGCCAAAAGTTTCAATCTAGATCTAGAGTAGATCTAAAGTAGATCTAGAGTTATGTTCGTGTTTGGAGTAGAACCCATCCAAGCTAGAACTGGTAACGTTGCTTATAATTTATGTTTACCTATTACTTTGATAGAAAGTTGTCCTATATTCTACGTTCAATACAAATAGGTAGAATGCGACAACTTTATGTTTTCCTAATTTGTAACGAAAATGTCATCATCATTTCCAAATCGTTAGCTAACGAGGTTAGGTACTTTAATACAGTTGACGAAATGTCAGCAAAAACAGATTTTATAATCTAACTAGCTGCTGCCCGCGACTACGTCTGCGTAGAGGGGTGAAAATTTAGGGTTGTATGTATTTTTGTATGCTGTATCATAATAAACAAAAACAAACAATTTTATATTAAAAAAAATTTGGGATGGACCACCCTTAACATTTAAGGGGATGAAACGGGGTGAGGCGGCCGGAGCCCAATTTTCAAAAGGTTGTCAACGCATCTGGAACCCTCGGGTGTGGCAGATGTCCATGGGCGACGGTATTCACTTAACATCAGGTGAACCGTCTGCTCGCTTGGCAACTTTTCACATAAAAAAGGTGAACCGCCAGCTCGTTTGCCACCTTCTCATATAAAAAAAAGAATATTTTTTTTACCTAAAACCATCGTTGAGTACGCGTTTGGTTACGATAGGCAAGTGGGATCAACACTGGCACAGACTAACTTAGCTTCTGAACATAATCACATGATCTCTTATAAGGTCCGCAGACTTGCTTGGGTTGGCATAATTGTAATATTCTTCGCTCCAAATCAAATTTGTCACTCCACAGTGATTTTGTGGGTCCTGTCACAAATTTTACTCATTGTTTGTTCACCCCACGGTTAAGTACTAAAATGGCAAGGCGATAATCGGAGCTAACATCTCTCCCGAAAAGGTAAAAGAAAAAGATATTTACACGAAAAGGAACGTTTCGAGAGATCTTTATCTTCGAGACGTCGTACCGCCTACTAACACGGATCAATTAAAAGATGCTCACAGGCGAAAAATATAGAACACTAGCTGCTACGTCTGCGTAGAATAAGCTGAAGGCGTAACATTCAGACAGAAAGACAGATATACATAAAATATGTATATAAATTATAGCCTATGTCTTATTCTGATGTATAAGCTATATTATTGTAACGTTTCATTAAAATCCATTCAGTAGTATTTGCGCGAAAGAGTAACAAACATCCAACCATAGAATACAAACTTTCGTATTTATAATATAGTAAGGATTGGGCGGTTATCAGTTTTGCAGAGCGATGTCTTGGTGGTTAGCTTGACGTGTGATCACAGGATCAACTATTAATTGTTTAAAGTTAATTTTAAAAAATCTATAAAAAATCAAAATCAAAATCAAAAACACATTTATTCAAATAGACGCTTGCGCGCTCTTATCAAATTTTACATCAAAGATTATGTATATAGGTGCGTAAGGTACCACCGGTTCGGAAAGCGGTTTCTGTTGAGAAGAGACCGGCAAGAAACTCAACAGTTGCTCTTTTTCAAAAATATCAGGGTACAATATAATATACAGGTATAATAGTCTTATTCTAGCCTACGTGAGTATCAACAGTATTAACTCCACACATTGGCGTCGTCGAGATATTCCGAAATGGTATAATATGCTTTAATCATCAGTTGATTTTTAATTTTACATTTAAATTGGTCAAGCGGCAGACTTAATATCGACTGTGGGATTTTATCATACATGCGCACACTTTGCCCCATGAACGACTTATTTACTTTTTGTAGACGAAACAATGGCGTAGTAAGTTTGTCCTTATTTCTAGTGTTTATTTTATGTCTGTCACTATTCTTTAGGTAATAATTAAGGTTATGACGTATATACAAAACATTACAATAAATGTATTGACAAGCAACAGTGAGTATATTAACCTCTTTGAAAAAATCTCTGAGTGAATTCCGGGCTCCGATATTGTAGATTGCTCGGACAGCTCTTTTTTGAAGAATAAATATAGAATTTATATCTGATGCACTACCCCACAACAAAATGCCGTAAGACAAGATGCTGTGAAAATAACTAAAGTAAACAAGTCTGGCAGTGTCGATGTCTGTTAGCTGCCTAACCCTTCTTATCGCAAAAACCGCGGAGCTCAGCCTATTCGCAAGAGATGATATATGGGGACTCCACTGGAGCTTTGAATCTACTGTAATTCCCAGAAATACAGCAGACTCAACTGGATTAATGGGTACGTTATTTAATATTAAACTAAAACTTTTCCTTCTTATACTGGGAAGGGTAAAAAGAATACATCTGGTTTTTTTGGCATTTAATACCATATTATTTACAGTAAACCAGTGGAGGATATGTGAAAGCGCACTATTCACGTCGTCATAATTTAATACGTTTCGGTCAACTTTAAAAATAAGCGATGTATCGTCAGCAAACAGTACAACATCACACAACCCACTGGCATAAAAGGGGAGATCATTAATATATACTAAAAATAATAATGGGCCCAAGATTGATCCTTGTGGGACTCCCATTTTCATCTGGGACCCAGCGGAATTAACATCATTTATAGATACTTTTTGAATTCTATTACTAAGGTAAGAGGTATATTATATTGAGGCTATTACTAAGGTATATAAAAACAACTCAATATCAAATACGTTTGTCCCGTTTAATTTCATTCACCTTGGCCGAAAAATAGATCTTGTATAAATAAACTTTTTTTAAATTTAAACTTGTATAGGGCGCATTTCGGAACTTTTTGGATGATAAAAAAATATGTTCGCGTCACCGAGACGCATTATCACGTGTTTCAGTCTTTTGATAACATTTGCATTTCTAATATTTCATCTCCTTAAAACAAATATCTAGTTGTACGATAGTATTTTTGAAAAATAAAATTCATAAAAAAAAATCAATCATTCTAGTCTCTATGACTATTTTTTTTATATAGGTACGTTTTAGGTGAATCGCAATAGGATGAGCCTTGTCACGTTTGGACTAAAGACCTCTTTCTGTTTGTTGTACCTGTTTGTTGTACCAAAGAGACAAGCTATTTCTGTTTATGGTACCAGGGATGCAGCGGTCACGTGTAATAATACAATTCAGCGAACACCATTTCTACGTTGCGCGTTTTTTGATCGCATTCCCACCTTTTCCCTTTCCTTTCTTTCTTTTGCCTTTTTCTCTTTCCTTTCGGCCATTGACACCGCCCGTCACACGGAACAATGGGCATGTCGGTTTGTTGCACGTGGCCCACTTTCGAGGCGGCCGGCGCTCTGTGGCTAGCACCGTTACGCATTCGCTCCAGCGATAATGGACCTAATGTCGAGAGCGATAAAAGTCGTTTCGCTTCGTGTTGCGCAATCTCGCGTACGCGAACCAAATTCGTTTCCTAACACACCTATTCGATTATGGTGCCCTGGTACCTTTGTGTCTCGAATACTCTCGTGTCAATGACACTGCATCCGAGGTTCTCTTGGGTATAGATAGATAGATAGATAGATAGATAGATAGATAGATAGATAGAGACTGTCACACCCATCGAACTGATTGATGTCTGTCTAATATTCTCAATCTCTCAAATACGCAAACAGCATCGTAGACGAATTGCTTTAACAATTCGCTAAAATCATTTTAAATTTACAAACTCAATCATTTCATTTATAAGTTGGCAGAAAGATCTTTATTCCTTTGCAGCATCCAGGACCCTCAAGTTGGAGTTAAAGTAATTTTTCAGATTCGGTTATACTTATTCCGTTTCCGGATTCAATACAGTTAACCCGAGCTGATATGAAGTTTTCTAAAGACTTATCTGTTTTGGGGATTCGCATGTTGCCCAACAAACAATATTTCGAATTGCATACTTAACTAAATTCCATTATTAATGAAGAAAATATTAAAATGTAAATAATTTCACAAAATGTTTAATATTACGCCGTAATAGCTCAGTACCGGGCCGCTCCCTTTTAATTCAATATGCTCGAGCCTGCATTCAATTCCCGATGCCGGCACCAATAAATTAATTTTTAAGTGCTGACCTGATAAATCAGCACTTAAAATAAAAAAAATGCACGTGCTCAGCGGTGAAGGAAAGCATCGTGAGGAAAATTGTATATTTTGAAAATAAAAACAAAAAAGTATAATATTTCGAAGATATGCAAATTCCGCTAGGCCACAATGGTGTCCTCCGTACAGAGGAGGCCTTTGCCCAGCAGTGGGACATATCGTTGTTACGCTCTTCGTTTCTTTTTAATATTAATTTTATCATTCAGAAGATCATTCTGATCAATTCAGAGAGGTTAAACATCCTTTTGGCAACTCCAATGACATTTGAAAAGCCATTTGACCGCTGATTAGTTAATTTCAGTGTTTCAGAAACCGGGCGTAATGAAATAGGAAAACGGATGTTAATACTAAATTAGTTAATTTTATTTTTAACCGACTTCAAAAAAGGAGGAGTTTTCTCAATTCGACCGTATATATTTTTATTTTTTTATATGTTTGTTCGTGGATAACTTCGTCGTTTATGAGCCGATTTTGATGATTCTTTTTTTTATCGCAAAGGAGATGTCCCAAGGGTGGTAACGTGATAAAGAAACCCGGATCTGATGATGGCATCCCAGAGAAATCGAGGGCCATCATTGAATCCTATAGGTATTAACAATGTTTTTAATTTTCTGATTGAAGTTCGTTTTTTTTTGTGTTAGCTAAAACATAGATTCGCTCTTCGTTACTAAATTTGAATGCCAGTGGCTAGAATTTATCTTTCATTTTGAAGCGAAGTTTGTTAGTATGCAGTTTTGTGAGAGCTGTTATCATATTGCCGTAAACTTGTCTTATAAACATTTGACCCGGTCAAAATTCGAATATAGTTAAATCTATTTTAAGTATCAAGTAGTAAACAGGTAAACACGTGAATGTGAAAGAAATCGAAAAGATCGACTGTCGATTTCTTTTACGACAGTTCAACATTGACCGTTCTGTATTATTTAAATTATTTTATATGTCAATTTTTAGGGTTCCGTACCCAAAGGGTAAAAAGGGTTAATACTAAGACTCCGCTGTCTGTCTGTCCTTCTGTATCTCAAGAACCGTGAGAGTTAGACAATTGTAATTTTCGCAGATTATGTATTTCTGTTGCCGCTATAATTACTAAAAAATATTTAAGGGTGGCTCCCATACAAAAGGTATGATTTTTTTACCGTTTTTATAGATAACGGTACGGAACTATTCGTGCGTGATTTCGACTCGCACTTGTTTTAAGTCATCGTACTGCAGCGTAACATCCTATTGCAGACAAACATTATTATATAGAGTAAAAAAAAACTGCCTTCAAAACCGCACGATAGCCGTATGGGATTTGAATCCAAAGCACTGCACGCCGTGATAATAGCCTTGCATAATACTATCCCTAACAATTGGTCATATCGTTTCATATTTTTTTCTTTGCATATATTATACTAGCTTTTCGTCCGCGGCTTCGCTCGCGTTAAAGCCCTCAGATAAATATCTTTAGACCCTTTACAACACTTTTCTCCAATTAAAAAATATGCCTATGCCCTTTCTCAGGCTCTAGACTATCTGTGTACCAAATTTCATTTAAATCGGTTCAGTAGTTTTGGAGTGAAAGCGAGACAGACAGACAGAGTTACTTTCGCATTTATAATATAGTATGGGATGGATATAATGTATATTACCTAACTAGAATACCTACAACGCGGGGTTAGGTACGCGGCGAACATGAAACCGCATGCACTAGTTAGCTTTGCGAAGAGAGAGTTTGTAAATACTCGTCGAAGATGGCACGATCGATAACACTGACACGCATTCACTAGTCGCGTTTAGGAACGACAAATTAAATACCGTTTAACATACTAAATAATATACGTGTAAACTGCACCTTTTTCCTACTTCCCTGGTCATCCTGAGGTACTGAGGTACCAGGCGATCATAAATGGCCTCATGATTATCGATGTTCTTAGTTTTCGGACCTAGACTCTAATAATTCTTCGTGGTCGGTGTACCTGAAGTACGGATCCGGCACGGGGTGGTAGAGCGGCGGCGGCGGCGGCGGCGCGTACTCATGGTACTGCAGGTGCGGGGGGTGGTGGGGGTTGTGCGGGGGATGGTGCGGCGAGAGATGGTGGCCGTACTCGCGGTACTCGCCCTCGCCGCCGAGCGAGCCCAGCGCCACCGGCATGTAGGCCACTTTGTCACCGCTCCATCTCTCCCACGGGCACAGGTGGCGGCCGCTCAAACTACTCGCGGACTATGCGAGCCTAGTACACAACTGACTATCTTCGTCCTTTTCTATTATATCACACCACTCGCACTGGTACTTTAATCCACTTAATCCAATAAATACTTCACTAGACACACAATATGTAAACACTAAAATCTAATATAAGTCTGTTTTTCTTTGGAAACGGCTTTGGTCGAGTACGAAAAGTCTTCACAAATCAAACGTTCATCTCTTAATCGCGCGCCGCGTTAAATAATTCATCACTGCAAACGAATTGTGATATTAAATCGACAAGGAAGCAGAAATACGTCTGTCTATAAGAAAAATGGCGTCTAAATACACGACAAACTCGCGCGACTGATAAAAAGCATTTCGAATTTTTCGCGCGGGAAGCGTCTAGCGTTCACGATGGAACATCCCAAGTACATTATGTACTCAAACGTGCCGGACGATTGAGACCTCTATGTCCATGACGTTACGGGCGATAAGACCATAGGTACTTTCGTAGTAGCGGCGGAGCGGCAACGCCGCGTCAGCTGGCCGCGCTAGTAACGCCGCGCTCGGAAAGGTCATCATCGGTTAATATTTTTTTTTATACCGCTCGCTATTTAGTCGACTATGAAAACCTTTGACATAAAATATTTTTTAGTATCATAAAGTACAAGGCATTTGAACATTCATTATAGAGATGAAAGTATAATGTAACAATTTCGCAATGAAAATTTTCCAATTCCTTCGAATGACAGATGATAAACACTTTCGAAGCAACTTAACGAAATAAAAAGGCCGGGAATGATTAAATGGAACCGTCTTCCATTTTCGGATTGCCCGAGCGCGTGCGTCACGCCGAGCGCCATTCGAAAATTATTAAAAATGGAACTATGAATGTATTGTTTTCCCGGCGCGGCGTTGCCCGAGTAGAGGCCTCGGTGCGCGCGACGTTGCCGCTCGGCGCTCGCGGCGCGCACTTTTTACTGTTTCTCGGCACATAGGCGGGCTCATTACGCCGGCACGCACACAGCGGCGGCGCGCGCCCACATCGACGCCGTCCGCCCCGTGCGTACGTGCACACGTCGGCCCGAGCGCGAGATGTACATAATGTACATTCCGAGCGGCGACGCCGCTAGATATGTGGGTGAGATGCGTCGCGCGCGTACAGTACACGAATCGTGGCCTCTATAAATAAACGCGAAAGAAACGGCCGCGTCACTCCGAGCGGTGACGTCGATTGATTCCGCGTGGAGACCGAAACAATTCCGAATAGCACGCACCGTGACACGTCGCGTGTGTTTTCGCGCACATAGCACCGCGTCGAGTGGTCAGAGCGGTGGCGGCGCGATAGGCCTGTCGCCCGGCCGCGGTGACTGATGGGCAGAGGGGGTGAGACGCGCGATAAGAGCGGCGGCCAAGTGCGACGTGTTCGCGTGCCGGCGTCCGCCCCGAATGTGTGTCACGGCGGCGTGTCAATGACTCGCGGGCAGCGGGCAGCGGGCAGCGAGCGCGCCGCCGAGTAAACAGCGGGACACACGTGCGTCAGCCTTCACGCTCCCGCCCCCTCCCGTGCTGACCCCTTCGGACTCTTCTTCCCTAGCGGCCTACAGCCACCGCACTTAACGAGCTGACCGGACCGGGATCCCTAAGCCGAGGAAGCGTGACTTGACGTGACGTGACGTGACGTGACTTAGACGCGCGCGCGCTCCGTCCCCTGTGCACGACGACCCGACGTCTAGATTTCAGAGAGTACGCGGCCGCACTGCAGCCGGCGCGGCGTGCGAGCGAAACGCGACTAGGCGGCCGGTTGGCACGTCGGGGAATGAAAAGCAAAGCAGCCGTTTGCGCCCGACGATGATGGTGATTTACATAGTCCGATAGGGTCATGCGAAAACTTCGGTCTATTAACCCTTCTATACGGCTAAGGTGTGGAGGGCAAATAAGAAGAGTTAGACTCCAAGAATCATCGTTGTTAACCAATTGAAACTAGAAAAAATTAAAAACAAAAGGCAGAGTTTTTCAAGATTCTTATCACACAGCACGTACGTGCTGGCCGGCAACAGAGGCACGTAAAATAAAATAGAGTAAATAGAGAACAAAACGTGTCATCGCTTCGCGCGGACGCGAAATTCCTTTTAAGATAGCAAACCGACAATCGTACCATCCACAACAACGGATAATGCGAAACAAATCGATAAGTGTCCGACATTCGAATTCGGAATGTCCACGCATCGAAATCCGTCTAACACAGATAATGCGGAGTGAATCGGTAATTGACAGCTCTATCGCGGTAATGTCCGCGTATCGGAATCTTATCGGACCTACCTTCGACAGATAATATTAAAGAGACACGTTCTAAGTGCACGTAAATCGATAAGTCTCACGCGTAGGTCAGTCCTAACTCCGAAAGATCCGATAAGTTTACTTTGTTTGTGTTACAACCCTACCGCGGGTCCGATAGTGCGCGTTCGGCGATCGACAACCCTAGCGCAGGAATGCCGGGCGTATTCGGAACGGTTGGCATCCCTACGCGGCGCGTGACGGACCAGTGACAGCCCGTCGGCCGCTTCGGCATTTTCCGTAAGCGCTCGGCGCGCGACGTTTGGCGCGAGATTAGATATAGATTGCGATTATTGCGAACGCGTCGATACGAAAACGCTCGAAATGCACATTTGCTCGCAAAAGTGAAAGACATTCGGTCGCGTTCACTTCTAACTGCAGTGTTTCAAATTGGCAGTTGTATACTTGTATCATTGAAAAATAGAGGGATAATTAGACCGCAGAGTTTCTTCTATTGACAGGTCCAGTTTAGTGTCCACAAAGGATTTTTCACACGGTAATAAAAGGCCCATTTTAGTGAACCGGTGGTTGTTTTTAGGGCTCTGTACCCAAAGGGTAAAACGGGACCCTATTAGTAAGACTCCGCTGTCTATCTGTCCGTCGGTCACCAGGCTGTATCTCATGAACCGTGACAGTTAGACAGTTGAAATCTTCACGAATGTCGAATTCCTGTTGCCCCTATTACAAAACATACTAACAAGTATAATTTTTAACAAAAAAAAACCGACTTCAATCAGAAAATTAAGTAAAAACATTGTTAGTGCCTATAACATTCAATGAAGGCCCTCGATTTCTCTGGGATGCCATCATCAGATGCGGGTTTCCTTATCATGGTACAGCCCTTGGGATATCTCCTTACCGACAAAAAAGGAATCATCAAAATCGGTTCACAAACGACGAAGTTATCCGTGAACACACACCTTTTTTGAAGTTGGTTAAGAAGAACAAATACAGGAAATATTTAAGCGGGGCTCTCATACAACAGCTATAAGTTTTTGTAGATAATGTTTTTTATAGATAATGGCTACCCTTATATACCCATATAAAGCTCTATTTTATAGATAAAGCGAGTGCGACTCGCACCTAGGCGGTTTTTTTTCTCTCAATCGCAACTTTTCCGGCGAGGAATGGTATCAATTCCTCATTGGAAAAGGTAGACACCCAAGTTAAAGGTTGCTATCTCCATGGGGTAGGTTGACCTATTTATTCCTATCATTTACAGGGCTACTAATATCGAAAAATTAATTGGTTAACAACATACATTTGGAAACGCTTCTATGATATTCTCAATTCATAAAACCCTAAATTACTTTAAGGGTTAAATCAATGGCCTCTTGTTAAACAAGATACGTATCGTTCCTAACTAATCCTTACTTCCTTACTAATATTATAAAGGCGAAAGTTTGTATGTATGGATGGATATTTATTACTCTTTCACGCAAATACTACTGACTGGATTTTAATAAAACTTTACAATAATATAACTTACACATCAGAATAACACATAGGCTATAATTTGTACATATATATTTATGTATATCTGTCTTTCTGTCTGAATGTTACGCCATCAGCCTATTCTACGCAGACGTAGTCGCGGGCAGCAGCTAGTAATATTATAAAAGTGAATGTAAGTTTGTTTTGTTACGCTTTCACGCCAAAACTACTCGGCCGATTATCATGACACTTTGTACACAGAATGTTTTTTTTAAATATATTTTTTTATTAAAAATAATCCTATGACATTAATTTAATACCCCCTAAGAATATGACATATTCTTAAAAATATTGACATATTATTAAAAGAGTATATTAAAAAAAACATTCTGAGACGTATTAAATAAAAAAGGACATAGCGAGACCCTGAGCGGCAAGCATTCGGCAGGCATTGTCTGTCGCTCGATATCCTGAGCGGCAGGCATGGGGGTGTCTGTCACTCGATATGGGGCCTGTGACGGCACAGCATCATCTAGTAGAGGAAGCGTAAGATTGCGTCCACGTGTGCCCGTGTCCCCGGCCGATGCGACAGAGACAGGTGCAACGTGGCTTTTTGCCCATTCTTATTGGGCCTCCCGATAACATACCCCTGGCACCCCCCTTATAAGTGGCAGGGGATCCATAAAGCATTTCTCCCACGGAGAAATAAGGGTTCGCGACGCATCCACAGCCCCGTGAGCGTTGCAATGCATGAAGTCTAGGCTTCACGATAATTCAGAGCCAGATGTAGCGCGCGACCCCGGGGCGGTTGAACTAGTCATGCTGACCGACGGCTCCATCTCCGAAGTTCCGTTGCGTAATCCGTCGTAGATGCTATTAAAAAGAACCGGTCCGCAGGGTCAGCGACTCTCGGGACGGAGCGTCGGACTGTCCGGTGGCTATTGTGTGCTGCGATGCAGCTTTGGTGCTGACTTCGGCGGTCAAAGACGTGTGTCTGTTTTTTTTTCTTCTTTTTTTCAATGTGAAAAGTTGCCAAGCGAGCAGACGGTTCACCTGATGTTAAGTGAATACCGCCGCCCATGGACATCTGCTACACCGGAGGGTTGCAGATGCGTTGACAACCTTTTGAAAATTGGGCCGTTTGATAAATCGACTGTGGTAGGGCCACGCAACGGATCGGTTGTTGCACGTATGGGCAGGTCCGTCCGCGTGAGTGCCACGACCTCACAGAAGACCGACGTGTGAGGTAGCCGGGGCCAGCTTTACTAAAAGATGGCAACGCATCTGCAACCCTCCGGGTGTTGCTAATGTCAATTGGGCGGCAGTGTTAACTGAACATCATGTAAACCCAAGCTCGCTTGCGACCTCGCATTAAAAAAAATGTGCTAGACAAAATCCCGTTGCTCAGCAATCTCATCATCATCTTCCAGCCCTTATCCCACCTAGCTGGTCGTCTAAACATTTCGATCATGTAATTTACTTATCTTCGTTGGAGTTGGATTTAATAATAATAGAAAATATAAAAACACTTCATTCACTTACGTATAAAAAAAGTAAAGTAAAGTATCAGTCTATACATGTCGCACTGCTGAGCAAAGGCTTTCACATATGCCAACATGCCATCACTGGCGGACTTCGAATGTCTTCGAAATATCTTTTTTTGTCATTATTTCGAAAATATGCAAGTCTCGCGATATTTTTATTCACCAATGATAAGTCAGCGCTTAAAATTAACAATTTCATTGGTGCCTGCACCGGGGATCGAACTCGGGTTGCTCGAGTATATTGAATTAAAGGCGAGCGCCCGGACAATGAGCTATCACGGCCTTATTTATAATTAATATCAGAATCCACTGGCAACACTGCTTAATATACGAGCAATAACAATTATACTTAATAAATATCGAACCATATCTGGTATAATATTATATAATAAACTATGCTTAATAATAATTTATAATTTAATAGGTCAATCTTATTAACTGTATTAGTAATTTTATAAGTGCATTGATTTGTAATGTAGTTGTGATGACTCATTATATTTTTGTATATAAGCGCATAATGTTTCAGTGATAGGGTAGAACACATCCTTTGTATAGGACGTTACTGTAAGAAGTAGTCTAATTAATATACAGCGTGTCGTTACCATCGCGACAATAAATGAACACACGTCTAACGCTACTTGCCAATAATCATAAAAAAATATTAACTTTAAACAAAACCCATAATTAAAAAAAAAATATTTTTCAAGCAAACTAATTAAGTAAAAAAGAAACAAAATTTGTAACACCCTATACAACTTGCGCCACAGCGTCGCATTACAAGCCTCTCCTTCTAACAGTATGTTTTGTCTCTTTTAAATTCATTCAACCCATTCATATGCTTTGTGACCTTTACAAATGAACTTTACGTTACGCTTTTATAGGTAAGGGTGTTCTAAAATTCTTTGTTTTGGAAAATTTAATAACTCTGTAAATATTGATGTTTAAAGAATTTAAATGTTTAATACAACTTTAAAAAGTTATCCCCTATATGTGTGTTCATTTATTGTCGCGATGGTAACAACACGCTGTATAAAGTTGTTTACGCTATCCTCACTATTTTATTTTGGCCGACCAACCTACAGTCTTTAATACTAAACATAATGGCGCAGAGGGTGTGGTTGGATTCCGCCAGAAGTACAAGACTTCCACTTCACGCCGTCCTTCTGTGAGGGCGTGGTACTTCTTTTTATGTGAGCAAGTGGCTAACGAACTGGCGGCTCACCTGATGTTAAGTGATAACCGCCTGCCCATGGACATTTGCAACAACCGCAGGGTTACAATACAATGGGTTAGCCGGGGCCCACTTGAAAAGGTTGCGTTGCCACCTTTAAACAAAGCGCGCCCCGGCTACCTCACTCAATACACGACACGCAGAAGTGTAACACTTCTAATTTACTCTGTTCTTCTGTGAGGCCGTGGTACTCAACCGGACGGACCTGCCCATTCGTGCAACAGTGAACACCGTAGCGTGGCCCTACCACAGTTAATTGCCCGGACGAGCCTGCCCATTCGTGCAACAGCCGAAGACTGCGGCGTGGCCCTACCACATAAAGAGGACAGCGGTCGGTGTGGCATTCCTCACTTTAGCGGTAGAAACACGATACAGTTGCAACAGAGTGTCGCGTTTCGCGACGGCGAATTCGCAAAGACGCGGGTGAAAGGTGTGTTTGCTATAATAACGAGGAGAGAAAAAAAAGTCGGCCAAGTGCGAGTCGGAATCGCGCACGAAGGGTTCCGCTATCTATAAAATCGGCAAAAATATCATGTCTTTTATATGGGAGCCACGCTGAAACATTTTTTATTCTGTTTTTTAGTATTTGCCGTTATAGTGGCAACAGATCTCTGTTCGTTCTTCTGTGAAAATTTTAACTGTCTAACTACTAACCGTTCATGTTGGACAGCACAGACGGACAGACAGACAGGCATCGGAGTCTTAGTAAAAATAAAAACTACCAGTTTATCTGAACTTTATACAGTGTACAGTATTTTCAATTCGACAGCATTGCATACACGAAAATGTTTTACCCTATCCAGTTGGAAGAATGCTTACGTCCCCACATGAATGGCTTGAAACAATGACGTTTTGTTTTCATAATTTCGATTGTGAGCGAATATTTTTATGTTTCGATACATGAATGGTCTTTTATATTTTTGCTACGAACGCGTCTCTCCCACCGAATTTACCCGTTATAAACATTATTTTCACAGATTTTTACGTATAAACGGACAAT